ACATACTGTGCTTATGTGGGGGATTTTGGACCTGTGTAAATCCGAGTGTTTTCTGGATGACCTCTAGAGATCAGAATACACTAACTTCCTAGTTATGAAAAATAGTAAGTTTCTCCTAACACTGGGAAGCTGTCCTGTGCAGGAATTCTCAAGCCATTTCAAATATGCAAATAAAAATGAAACTTTTTTTAAAATGCATTAATGGAAAGGCAAGATATTATCAGAAAACTGTCAGAACAGAAAAAGAGCCAAATGATCATGCCTGTAGTTTACAACTATCAATCTAGCCATTTACTAGATTACTTTAGGGAGTGGGGCGCATTACAGCTTGGGTAAGGATGCCATTTTTACAAGCAACTAGTGTGTACAGAAGACAGTACAAGAAGAAAAGTATTCTGATTACAGGCAGTTTTGAAATGTAAAAGGTAGGCCTTAATGGAACCTTCCTGAGATGGTGCTTGGTGTGTAAAAACTGGTAGTTCTTAGAAAAAGAAAATTAATTGTATAAATAAATGTTATACTTTTGTATAAAATTCTAGCATTTGACACAATCATTTTAATTGGTATCTCTTCATTAAGCAGTGAGTGAACTGTATAAAAACAGTGAATGCAACCATAAATAATTGTATATAATACCTACTTGGAAGAATATTACAATATTGGGTCAATAGTTGTATTATAATTCACAATTTTATTGATATTCCAGTACTCCCTCTCCCAAATAAGATTCAGATGGATTGTACTGCAGCTGTTTAATACATAAAGGTATTTGGTCATATATAGTTAAAAGTGATATAATCTTGAGATGCAAGTGCAAAATAATAAAAACTCATTAACTGTTTACAGAAGCTGTTTCTTTTATACATCTCTTTAAATGTATTTGCATTACTACTACAAACCCACATTTTAATAATATGCTACTTTTGTGCTTTTAAATATCTAAGGTGCCGAATAAGAATTGTAAACTGTGAAGTAACTACTATGGAACAGATTAAGTAAAGCATTGGAGGCGGATGAGTTTGACAATAAAGAGGGTGTATGTGGTGAGTGTTTAATATTTATTGCATTTAATATTATTAAGTAGTATTTATAATTTCAAATTTTAGGCTCAGAGCAAAGCCTTGACAGCAAACTCTGCTGTATTGTATACTTACAGGTATACAATTGACAAAGGCTTTTTGTAATCATTGCTTGCTGTGCATTAGACCATTTTAGTAATGGCATGCCATTTTATTTAAAGTTCATGTCTCAGCCATGCCTTGTGAAATATCTTTTATAATTAATTCATTTCACAAGAAATTATATACATTCTAATTCTTTCCTATGGTTTATAAAATATTAAAATTCTGCTCCTGGAATTCATATCCTATTATCTTCGATATTTTCCAAATGTATACATTATGTTCAATTATAAAGGTATATGGGTTGAAGGAATATTCTGAATGACTGCAGAACAAATACAGTACTGTTGAATGATCTTGTGGGGTAGATTAATCTATAGCCTTGATTCCTCTCAGGGTGGGTTGCTGTAGCAACCGCCCCAGCTCACTTTAAAATAATTTTTTAAAGCTCACTTCAAGAGCTGCACCCAGCATGGGCCAAGTTAAAAAGCAGACAGACATGGGAAGAAGTGCTTTGGTACACCACTGTTATAAGATACAGAGGTAGTTAAAGGAGCAAGGGGTGGAGTGGAGTGCTGTGGGGCAGAGCTCTGTGGAGAAAATAGAAACTATACCACCCCAGGGTTAGGTTGGAAAGTAAGTGGACCATTTTGTCCTAATCTCAGTCATCTTCTGTTAAAATGTCATTTAATGATGTAAATTGGTAGCCTTATTTCTTTTAAGAAAAATTTTGTCACCAGGAACAGAAAATTAAAAATGGACTTTACTAAGAACCTTCATGCGGTGGCTTGCTAAGCTAATGATGAGATAATCACACTCTAAGGAAAAGAGACACTTGGCTGTATCTCACTCTGATAATACTTTGAGGATTTGATTTTCTAATGAGTCAACCTCATGTTGTGCTTTACAGTATAATTTAGATATGGGTCAGGTGTTACATTGGAAAAGAGTGCAACATTGTTTATAATACAGGTTGTCAAATGGCCTATGAATGACCAGTTTATAATAGGAATCATAGCTTAGATCAGACTCTTTTGGAAGAAATCCAAATGGGATTCTCCTAAAAAGTGTTTGCTACTTGTGATGCATGTTTTAAAACTTGGTACATATATAACAAAGCTGTTGTTTAAAATTATTCCAGATTCTAAAATTAACCTTAGCAGATAGAAAGATTCTACATGTATTTCAAAAGATATTGCATATTTGTGCATTAATACATGCTTTGTTGAATCTTGGGATTGAGGAGGAAACATGCTCTCTACTGTAAAACTGCCCATCTCTTTGTTTTTCCATTTAATAACGTTTGAACCCTGTTTTAAGACAGAGGTGTCCTCTACATTGCTTTGATGAATTGTGCTCTGACAAAAACCTGGCACAGTCTACAGATACTCTAATATATGAAGGTCACAACTATTTAAAGATTAGGCCCTCAGAGCCTGAAAATGTGGAAGGAATAGTAGACATATTAAGCAGCTGTACATATTACTTTGTTGTGGTAATTGCTATCTGATTTCTTCATGTCAAATTGAAGTACCATCCAAGCTTTACCCTGCCAACTGAAGGGTCTGCTAGAGCAACTAGACAAAAAGCCTGAAAGATACAGTTAGCTTGTACAAAATGCAACAGATTGCAGCCATTCTTATCTACAGCACAATGGTGTAAGTCTGGAAACTAGTTGTTCTAACACATAATGCTCCATTAAAAAAAGAAAATGTTAACGTTACTGCTGTTGGAAAGACTGATGCCGTATTGACTGCTGGGAGAATGAAACTTTAGTTACAGAACAGAGCTAACAGGGATAGGTCCAGTACAGATTCCCATATTTCTTTACCAGCATGCCTCGCTCCAAACCTCATGAGATTACTAGGACTGAAAGGGTAGTTCATACTTCATGTTTTCCCAGTGTTTGGACCTCCGCTGAGACTACTAACATGTGTGCTAACTACTGTCATTTATTATATGTCTGTACAGTGCCTACCTGGCTGAGGTCTCAGAGGCTACATCAAAGTTTGTGTTTATTGATTGTTGTTGTGTTTTGTGTGATGTGGATATCTGTGCAGTAAGAACTGCCCATCCATTACTAACAAAAATTAATACAATTGAGTAGAGAGTTCTGAGATTTGTAGTCAGTTAAAGCGCCACCTACGTATCAAAATGAAGAAAAGTCCTGGGCAACATTTTATAACTCCATCAGTTTCATTCAGGTCTGCAATTACTTTGA